AAAAAAGGGAGGGGCTGGGGAGGCAGAGAGAGAGCGGAGTGCTGGGGACGCTGGGGACAGAGAGGACGGTGGCTACTCTGATCCGGGTTTAAACACCCATCCGCACCCCACCCGTGGGCCCCAGGGAAGGAGGCCCGGGCTCACTGGGGACGGCGGGCTGGGAGAGCCTCGGCCACTTTCCGGGGACCGATTACCCTGGCAAACAGCGGCGGCCCGGGGAGCAGGATGGCGTGGGATGGCAGGGCCGACCCAGCACCAGCTGCTGACGGCTGGCGCCACCCAATGGCATGGGAAGAGGGCGGGCTGTGAAGTGAAGGAGCCCAGCCGCCGCTCCCCACCCTCCTCAGCAGGACAAGCACCTCTGGGCTCTTCCTCCCCCACCTCGCTCGGGGCAGAGTCTTCTGGGGGCACCGGGGGCCTGGCTGTGCCAAGCAGGCCGTGCACGGTACCACTCTAGGAGCGCGTGCCCGTGCTGGGCGGTGTACATCTGTGAAGAGGGCGGGCTGTGAAGTGAAGGAGCCCAGCCGCCGCTCCCCACCCTCCTCAGCAGGACAAGCACCTCTGGGCTCTTCCTCCCCCACCTCGCTCGGGGCAGAGTCTTCTGGGGGCACCGGGGGCCTGGCTGTGCCAAGCAGGCCGTGCACGGTACCACTCTAGGAGCGCGTGCCCGTGCTGGGCGGTGTACATCTGTGGGTGGCGTAGGACATTTTTGGAACAGATGGCCAAGGTGTCGTGAGGAGGGTGAGGAGGGGCCCCTGCTCCCGATTTGCACAAACGCTATTTGTCCCTGGCAGAATGCTGTCCAAACGCATCCCGTCTCGCCGGGCCGGCGTGGCTCAGTGGGTGAGCGTCGACCTAGGAACCAGGAGGTCACAGTTCGATTCCCGGTCAGGGCACATGCCTGGGTTGCAGGCTCCATCCCCGGTGTGGGGCGTGCAGGAGGCAGTCGATCAATGATTCTCTCTCATCATTGATGTTTCTATCTCCCTCTCCCTTCCTCTCTGAAA